GAGAGATAGAGGAGGAAGCAGGTTCTCCACTGAGCAGAGAGCCCGATGCGGGACTCGATCCCAGGATCCCGAGATCATGACCTGAGCCGAAGGCAGAGGCTTAACCCACTGCCACCCAGGTGCCCCTGTTCTTCTTTTTCAAATGTTGTTTTGGCTATTCCAATTCTGTTGCCTTTCCAAATAAATTTTAAAATCAGTTTGTATTTATCTACAAAAGAATCCATGCTGAAAATTTGGTTGGAATTGAACTAAATTTGTAATTCGATGAGAATTGACATCTTTACTATCTATAGTCTTCTAATCCATGAACGTGTTATGTCTCTTCATTTATTTAGGTCTGCCTTGATTTCTTTCATCTGCATTTTTTCATTTTCAGCATATAGATCCTTTTAGATTCTTATACTTGTATCAATATATATTTTTTGGAGTATTTTAAAGGTATTGATTTTTGAAATTCAGTTTCTGGGGTGCCTGGGTGGCTTAGTCATTAAGCGTCTGCCTTCGGCTCAGGTCATGATCCCAGTGTCCTGGAATCTAGCCCCGCACTGGGCTCCCTGTTTGACAAGAAGTCTGCTTCTCCCTCTCCCACTCCTCCTGCTTGTGTTCCTGCTCTCACTGTCTCTTTCTCTGTCGAATAAATAAATACAATCTTTTTTTTTAAAAGATTTTACTTATTTATTTGTCAGAGAGAGAGAATGCATAAGCAGGGGGAGCAGCAGGCAGAGGGAGAAGCAGGCTCCTCGCTGACCAGGGAACCTGATATGGGACTTGATCCCAGGATCCTGGGAATATGACCTAAATCAAAAGCAGATGCTTAACCAACTGAGCTGCCCAGGAGTCCCAAAATAAATAAAGTCTAAAAAAAAAAAATAATAATTTCAGTTTCTAATTGTTTATTGCTAGAAATATGGTTGATTTTTTTGTATTGACCTTGTACTCTGTAACCTTGCATTTATTAGTTCTAGGAGTTTTTTGATGGGTTTTCTGGGCTTTCCTATGTAGACAGTCATTGTTTATGAATAGGGGAAGTTTTAGTTCTTCCTTTTTAATTTGTATGCCTTTTATTTCTTTTTCTCGCCTAATTACATTAAGTATGGCTTCCAGTACAATGTTAATTAGGAGTGGTGACAACAGGACATGCCTCCCTTGTTCCAGTTTTAGTTTTCCAATCTACCTGTGCGTTTCACCATTAAAGATGTATTGGCTTTAAAAAAAGGTGGGGGGTGGTTGTGTCAGCTGTAGGCTTTTTTTTTTTTAGATGTCCTTTATCATGTTAAGATTCCTTTCTATTTCTAGAATAGATGTTGAATTTTGTTGAATTTCTGATTATCCTATTAAGGTTATTTAGTTCATTTGAGTGAGTTTGCAATTTTTGAGGAATTGGTTCAGTAATATATAATCAGAATTAGATACTATGACCAGATGGGGCTTATTCTAAGATTGCAATGCCAGTTCATTATATGAAAATCATATAACCTATCATATTAACAGTCTAAAGAAGAAAAACTTCATGATTATACTCACTGATGGGAAAAAATATTTATATCACTCTTCTTTCCTTTTGGGAGTCTGGAAATAGCAGTGTTAGAACTTTTCATAATGTTCCACAGGTCTGTGAGGCTCTGTTCATCTTTATTTCCCCTGTTTTTCTCTGTTGATCAGATTTGGTATGTCTTCAAGTTCATGGACCTTTTCTTCTCTAATTTCTATTCTGTCGAGACTACATACTGCATTTGGTTGATAGTCTCTCTAAGGCTTTTTTTCTCCCTGCACCTTTTCCTTACTTAACTATGTGATGTTTTTGTTGTAAAAGGTAAAGTTTATTAGTCCCAAATGATTTTCCATGATGTAGATTTTTCTAATTGTACTTCTGTCATTTAAAATGTTTTCTGCATCCTGTATTTTTGTAGATCAGAAGTTAGATCTAGAATAACGTACGGTGAACTACAGTCTGAGGGTCAAATCTGGCCTTCCTCTGTTTTTAAAAATATTGATTGAAACACATTTATATACATACTGTCTGTACCTGCATGTGTGCTGTGGTGGTAGAGCTGAATATTTGGGACAGAGACTGTATGGCTGGGAAAGCCTAAAAATATTTATGCCTGCCTGCCTGCCTGCCTTCACTTTCTTTCTTTACTTTCTTCCTTTTCTTTTCTTTCTCTCTCTCTCTTTCCTTCCTTCCTTCCTCCTTTCCTCCCTTCTTTCCTTCCTTCTTGTGAGTAAATGATAGAAGTTTATTAAGCAAGGATACAGGAAAAAAAACTTTCAGGAATGAGAGGGGTCCTGACAGGGTTGCCCTGCTCTATTCCTTTATTTATTTTTATTTTTTAAGATTTTATTTATTTACTTGGCTGAGAGAGAGAGAAAGAACGAGAATGCACAAGCAGGTGGAGCAGAAGGGAGAGGGAGAAGCAGGCTCCTCACTGAGCAGGGAGCCCCATGCAGGGCTCGATCTCAGGACCATGGAATCATGACCCAAACTGAAGGCAGAAGCCTTAACTGACTGAGCCACCCAGGTGCCCCTGCCCTGTTCCTTCAAAGTAAAATTTTGATAATCTCTGGTTCAGAGATTTTTACAAATTCAGTTTGCTTTTTTTTTTTTTTTTTAATGAACTTAATAGATGGTCATTTATATTTGCTTCTGTGGCACATAATGTTTTGTTGTCTGTTTTTGTGATGTTAATCGTCATTGCTTATAAAAGGGCTTTTTAAGTGATTCACCCACAGTTTTGATGGATTTTTTTTTTTTTGCTGGGCATAAAATTTTAGACTGCAGTTTTTCCTTTGCTGTTTTCTGGCTTCCCTTGTTTATGACTTATTGTCAGCTATCAGTCTTACTGTTAGTCTTTGAAGGTAGTCTCTTGTTCCTCTGTTTCTCCCTACCCTCCACTCCTTGGATGCTTCTGAGGTTTTCCTGTTTGGGGTTTTTATCAGATACACAGTACTGGTTTTCTTTTTCTTTTTTAATCTTCTTTAGATTTATATTGCTTTTTCAGTCTGTGGCTTGAGGTCCTTCATCGGTATTAGAAAATTCTCACCCATATGCCATTTTCTCTCATGCCCCATTCTCATTTCTTCTCCTGAGAGTCCTATTACATTTATTTTAGATTTTATACAGTGTTATATTTTGTTTTTTATGTTTTTTCCTGTTTTTAATTGATTGTGCCTTTTGTTCTTTGCCTAACAGGAGTATTTTCTTTTGACCTTTCTTACAATTCACTGATTTTTTTTCTGTGTTTAATCTACTGTCAAGCCTACCCTTGAATCTGTTTAATTATTGCTTTTTTCATTTCTGTTATTCATTTGGTTCTTTGTTACAGTTTTCAGTTCTCAGAATTCTCCATGAACTGTCATTTATTTCAGTTGTTTTAAAATTGATTTCTGATCATTATTTTATTTGGGTCTCCTGTGGTCTTTTCTAATGTCAGTTCTTCTCCCTTGGTTTCTTATCATTTGTTGTTTCCTTGAATATCTGCTTATTTTTCATTCAGTGCCAGAAACCAAATGGGAAAAATGTTGCAGATAGTTTGAGGTTCTGAATGATTGTTCTAGAAACCTAAAACATCTGTATATGATACTTTTATAAGTTCTGTTGTAAGAATAAATAGGCATGGGAGAAGAGGGAACTGGTAAGAGTCAATTAATAGAATTATCCTGGCTTCCTGATAGAGAAGGATTTGAGAGAAAACTAGGAGAAAATGAAGATCTCAAAGAGTATGGAGTGAGACAACTAAAAGAGTTGGCATCAAAGTGGGGATGGTAGACCTTGAGATGAAAATAAAAATAATCAAAGGGAAAAAAATTCTGTGGGATATAATTTGTGTGTTAACTAGAGTTTGCAATTAGTCACTAGGTGAAAAGTCAAGGTAGTCTTAATGGAAGGTGTAGGTGTAGGTTAAGTTTTGAAGGAAATAAATTTGGTAAATAGTGAAGAGCAGGAATAGAATTTCAGGCTACACTGCTTTTCTTCTTCAAATTTCCTTTGAAATTACCTTTAGCCTGATTGTTCTAAAAATGTTCGGCATAGTATTAAGGGGTGGGGTGAGGACCGGAAGCCATCATTTTTTTTTTTTTTTTTGCCACAGGCTCACACACTCTAGGTAGGTTCATACGGCTAGTGAACAGCCGGCGCTAAAGCTCTGGGCTCAAAACTCTTAATGTCAAAAAAACAAAAAAACAAAAAAAACTCTTAATGTCCTCTGAGCCTTGATTCTTTGGGGATTTTAATACTTTTTTAAAAATATTTTATTTATTTATTTGACAGACAGAGATCACAAGTAGGCAGAGAGGCAGGCAGAGAGGGAGGGGGAAGCAGGCTCCCTGCTGAGCAGAGAGCCCGATGCGATGCGGGGCTCGATCCTAGGACCCTGAGATCGTGATGGAGCTGAAGGCAGAGGCTTAACCCATTGAGCCACCCAGGCACCCCGGGGATATTAATACTTGCCCAACCTTCCTCACATAGTTTTTGTCAACATTTCAAAAACAAAAATACTGTACAAATGTAATGTGGTTAATAATCACATGGCTGGTTGAAAATTGTGATGTGTAGTTATACTGAAGGAAAATTTTTCAAGAACTTACTACGTATGCATTTCATTTATTCATATAACTTAATTGTGCTAAGTAAATTTGTGACAGATTTATGTGTGAATTAGAGCATGTCAACATCAGAAGTTTCTTGTTACATTTTTCTGCTTGAAGGCAAAAATATTACACGTACATTCTCATTATCTTTGAGAGAACGAATTTTCTTTTGGAATAGAAACCAAATACTATAAAAACAAATGAATTGTCACTTGATATAAATTTGAACTCTTAGTGTCTATTTAGATTCTACAATAAAATTTAAACTGTGGATTATTGGATAGTATATGTCACTTGATCTATTATGTAAGTAAAGCAGTCCCAGTCCTAAAGGAATGTTACAATTCATAAGCAAAGCAGTATGTTAAAACTTTATTTTAAACTAAAGTATAAAATTGTTTCTCTGTCTCTAGGCAAAATTTGGTTTCTCTAATATTACCGGAATTGATTATTCACCTTCTGCAATACAGCTTTCTGGAAGTATTATAGAGAAAGAGGGTTTATCTAACATTAAGTTGAAGGTAACTATTATATTACTATAAGTTTTTTATAATAAAAGTTATAAAGTTTAAGCATTTCTAGAGTATATTTGCTAACAATATCTTTGAACTTGTAAATTAAGGATTAATTTATAAATAATCCAAATTGAAACATTTTTAAGTAACTGAAAATTTTCAGTCTAGTCAGCTTGGGGAAGTTATTTTTTCCTCTTCCTTATGTGTGAGTGTGTTAATTCTCATGTTTGTGAACACACACAAATACTGGCTGCTAACTTTGGATTAACTAGGTCAAAAAGTTGTAAATACGTAAAGTGGTGTAGTGCCACCAAAGATTAGTTCGTTTATTTTTGTGTCCTGTGATCCACAAGGAGATGATGACTCTTGGATTTATAGATCTAGCCCAGGCTTGTCTGAGCTCTAGAATGATTTATTTATTTATTTTTATTTTTATCTTTTAGAGATTTTATTTATTCATTTGAGAGAGAGAGAGTGTGTGTGAGAGAGAGAGAGTATGAGTGGGGAGAAGATGAGAGGGAGAAGCAGACTCCCGTGGAGCTGGGAGCCTGATGTGGGTACTGGATCCTGGGACTCCAGGATCATGACCTGAGCTGAAGGCAGTTGCTTAACCAACTGAGCCATCCAGGCGCCCTAAGCTCTAGAATGACTTAAAAACTGCATATTTTACAGTTCTGCCTGGATAGCAATAGTCCCTCATTTAGTCCAAAAGGAAACTCTTACTTTCTCTTTAAACCTGCTTTACTGCCGTCTTTCCATTTCTGTTACTGATACCACCATTCTCCTGTTGTATTAACTTAAAACCGGAGGAGTCATCCTTGATGCTTCTCTTTGCCTTAAGTCCTGTGTCTCCTTCTGTTTTATCTTCAGAGTATATCAGGCACGTGCTCATTCCTTGCTGTTTCCTCTGTGCCCTCCTAAGTCCGAGCCGCCATCATTTCTTGCCTCCGTGGCTGCAGTGGCCTCTTACTTGGCCTCTCCATTGCTCCTCTTGCCACCCTCTGTTACCACAGGGCAAGCAGAGTGATCTTTTAAAATGTCAGTATGCTCGTGTCACTGCCTTGCTCACAAGCCTCCAAGGGCTTCCCTGTTGCATTGAGAATGGAATCTGAATCCCCACCCACCTTACAAAGCCCCTCCTTTCTTACCTGTTTTCCTCTTTCTCACCAGTATTCCAGTCACACTGGGTTGCTTTCTGCTCCTGAAACGTGTCGGGCCTGTTCTCTTCCAGTCTTTCTACCTGCTGCTCTGTCTAGAATATTCTTGCCCCAGATCTGAGCTTGTTTGGCTCATTCTCATCCGTCACATCTGTGCTCAGATACCACCTTCTCAGACCTTTCCTGACTGCCTTTTCCAAAACATCTCTCTTCCCAGTCACTCACTGTGTTTATTATTCTGTTTCTGTTGTCTTCATAGCACTTCATCTAAAATTATTTGTTTAGCTTATTTATTTGTTGTCTCTCCCTTTAGAGAACATAAGATATATTCTCATACACGGACACTTTCCTTTTTTGTTTACTATTATATTCTCAGTGACTGAGAAATCCCTGCATTTAATAGGTGTTCACGACATACTTGTTGAATGAACGAGCACTTTGATACAGGTGTTTCAGATAGGACCTTCTCTAAACTTAGCTCTTAAGAATAGTGGTCATCCTTTGCTTCAGGTATAATGAATACTTTGGTGTGAGGGTGGAGGAAAGAAACCACGTTCTAATGTAAATAAACGTAAAGATCCACATTTTAAAATCAAAGGGTTTTAGGTAATACAGTATTTATGATTACTGTATTAAGATTGTATGAATAATAGCTAGTTGCTCAGTTTTTCAAAGTAGCTTTTCAGAATTAAGTACACTGACGAAGTATTGTATTAAATGAAATTGTGGCAGATCACTGGCTCAGGTGCTTAAAATATACTAATAGGTTATTGAAAATGAATGATATGCTGATGTATGACTTCTACAACCTAAACTGCATGATATTTATAAAGTTAAGTAACTACAGTTTAAATAGTCCTCTGATTTCTTAAGCTTTATGCCATTCATTTTATCCTATAGTTCTTGCTGAGCTGCTGGGTCAGGGCTGAGCAACTTCTGATTTTACTGAGTTTACTTTAAGTCACGTAACTGGTAATCATATCAGCTAAAAAATCATTGTATTTCTAATGACCTGTTTTGAGTTCAGCATAGTTTTTTTCATCTTTAAGAACATGGCAAATATTCTACTTTTTGACAGAAATAACTTTCATAAGCTGGGCTTGGAGGCTCCGTTATGTGCTGGTATTATTAGGCCGTACACCTGGCTTTGATTTGTTTCCAAATTTGTAGAGATTTGGAATGTCCAAGAAACAGTGTCAGTCTCCCACTAATGTTAGCTTTAATGATCTTAGAATGAAGCACATAAAAGTTAGCTATAAAGTTGAAAATAATGGTTATTATATGTAAAATGCCATCATAATTAATTGGTCTTTTTATCCGTAATCTTTTACAGATTGTCACTTGAATTCAGGAGAGATTGTGTGTTAATTGTTCTCATAAAGACATTGATTTTTAATATAGGTAGAAGACTTTTTGAATCTTTCCACAAAGCTGTCTGGATTTCATATTTGTATTGACAAAGGAACTTTTGATGCCATAAGCCTTAATCCTGACAATGCGATTGAGAAGAGGAAGCAGTATGTGAAATCCCTGTCTGGGGCGTTGAACGTGAAAGGCTTTTTTCTAATAACCTCTTGTAATTGGACCAAGGAAGAGTTGCTAGATGAATTCAGTGAAGGTAAATGGCCATGTGTTGTTAATGTTTGCTTACCTTGGGTTTCATGTACTTAAATGGTTTTTCTTCCCCCCCTTGGTGTTATAGTGTTTTACTGTTCTGTTTGTGGGAATTGCTTGCTTTTCTTCTCTTTTAACTGTATATGCAAAAGACAAAGAAATAATATCCTGAGATCCAGAGTCCTTTCTAAAATTTTCCAAGAAATCCTGGCAGTTAGGTACTAACATTTATGAGTCTATAAAAGTTAAATTCTTCATTTAAGCTATATAATCTCTTATTTAGAGACTCAAACAGAAAGCATATACATTGTGCTTCTGACTTTAGTGTACTGATACACTGGTCATCAGTAGTAATAGTAATCAGTCATATGCAAATGGGAGCAGTATTTTTAAAACTCTGACATGAGAGTTTGTAGTCTCTAAATACTTTGTGTCTTGCTAATGGTCATTTGGGTATTTAGGATTTATCTTTTCATTATACATAGAACAATTATTTTTAACGTTGCACAGAAAAAAAGTAGGGACTTTGTAGTAGAAATACTTGCTGTTAATTCTTGAGGACAGCTCTACCTTTTTCAAGGTTTTGGTGCCAAGACAGGATCCTTTCTCGCCCCGTTAAGAAATTATAATTAGTGCTGTGTCTACTACATGGGAATCTTGTGAGAATGGAGAATCTGTAATCTATGCACAAATATTTTGAGTTCATTGGCAGACTGTCCTTGCATGTTTAAAGGAATATTTTACCTGCCAGTTTGTTCATGTAGTGCACAGGCATTTCTGGGAAAGTACCTTGACAATCCAGGACTAGTATTTGCTTGTTTTTTTTTCACAGACTCCTTTTTTTAAGATTAGCATGAAGTTTTGTTAAAGAAATGGGAGGGATTTTTAGGATGGAATATTAATATGATATGGAATATTATGTGGAATATGGAATATTAATATGATATGGTACTAAATTTGTGTTAAATTTTGAATCTCAGTTGCCACAAGCTGATGGGAAATGAATTTATAACTATTTGCATGTATTTTTATCTTAGAGTTTGTTTTCTTTTTGGTAATAAGGGAATAGGCAGTAGGAGGGAGAACACTTAACAGTCCTTTTGTGTGCATTCGGCAGGTTATATAATGTAAAACTTGAAGTGTTTGAAGCTTGAAATGAGAGCTTGTGGTTTCATTACTCTTGCCGCTAGAAAACAAGAATTATATGTGATTTATTGTCTTGTATTTCATGCCATTAATTTTATTATCTTCCATGTTAAATTTGTTTCGTTTAGAACTGCTGAGGCCCTGTATGCATAGTCTTTCCTTTTTCCTGAAGCTTGACAGTTTTAATAAATGCTTGAAGTTAACACTGTGTAGGGCAAGTTTCTTTCCTGGTTTTTAAATACAGGTGTTCTCTTTTACCCTTGGAACCACCAGACAAAAACCTATTTGTCTGTCTTTGATAATGAGGAACAGACTTGAGCCTGGTAAAGAGTGCTTAAAATTGTGTCTGTGTCTGAGAACTACTTTAAGTTATGTTCAGTTTCAGAGCTTAATACAGAATTTCAGCAAAATGTTACAACAGGAAATGTTACATAAATACATAGAATTGAAGACATTTTTTAGGCATCTGTTTGAGAATATGGTGTTTGGAGTTAGAGATAGAACGCTAAACGAATACACGCGTCACTGCCCGGGGCTTGCTGGTGGCTTTTCACAACTGGCTTCTGTGGTCCCTTTGACAGTCTTTTAAGGTTCTTTGCTTCTTTCCTTATTTGAAACAAAACTGTTGAAATAAATCTTGTATTTTTCCTTTATAGCGCTATTCATATAAACATTTTGTGTTGTCATTTGTTTTGGTGAGGATTACTTGAATCATTTGCCAGAGATTGGGATGTTCTAATTTGATGTCCAAGGAACTTTACTTTCGTAAAACTACTAAGTTAAAAACAACTCCAGAAAACCTGTTTTACTGCGTAAATAATCCAGATTTGTTATGAAAAAGAAGAATGTCAATAACCCCAACACGAAGGATATAGGTTAAAATAACTAAAATAATTTATTACTTATCATTGGCTTACAACCACTTTTAAAATTTTGGTCTGTTACTTATTAAAATATAAGCACTTCAATTCTGTAGGTTAGTCCAAGGAGTTAAAAGATTAGTCTTGGAGAATTCACACAGACAGCTCCATTTTCTCTCTCTTTTTTTAAAGATCTTATTTATTTATTTGACGAGGAGAGACAGAGTGAGAGAGGGAACATAGCAGGGGGAGTGGGAGAGGGAGAAGCAGGCTTCCCGCATCAGGGAGCCTGATGTGGGGCTCGATCCCAGCACCCTGGGATCATGACCTGAGCTGAAGCCAGATACGATCAATGAGCCACCCAGATGCCCCTCCATTTTCTCTTGAACGTTTTCATTACGAAGTATTTTAAACATGCGTAAAAATTACAGAAAAAAGATAGGGTTTGTACCCATGTATCCACCACGGTGACTATGTTTTCCAGCATTAAGAGACATCATGTTATTTAAAAGGCCTGTCCGTCTTTGGAGAAGTTTTCTTATCAGTTTTAATGAGCATTTTGATTTATAGGTATTTGTTAAAATTTGATGAAGTTTGATGAAGAATATGAATTAAAATGCACAGTTGATACGTAATATATATCCTTTTATATTTTTTCTGTTTATAAGAGTTAGTTCAGCTGAAGCTCAAGGCAAGGAAGCTTCGAGAATGCAGACACCCCCACCTCGCAGGAAAAAATAAATCTACCCTCCAAACTAATAGTCCCATCGCTAAGGGAAAACCATGGTTAACTTCAGCCTTGCTTATCTTAGTTTTTAAAAACTAAATAATGAAATGTTAACTTTCCATTTCATTTTATTGTTCAGGAAAATACTATGTTATCTTATTTTGGTCTTTACAAAATCACTGTGAGGTAGGTAGGGGCGTTGTCATGTGTAAACTCCTTGCATAGAAACTGAGGGTCCCGGCCACATCTCTTTCATCTAGGAAGTGGTAGAGCTGGAACTTGAACCCGGGACTCTTGAATCCACATTAATTTTTAAGTCACACTGTGCTGCTTTGGAAGTTACTACTTCCCTTTTCTTCCCAGATCCTTCATTAGTTCAGTCTAGATCTTGGTTTTTGTTTACAAACTCTTTTTTTTTGTCGTGGTAAAATATATATAAGGTAAGATTTACCATTTAGCCATTTTAAAGCGTACGGTTCTGTGACATTAAGTACTTTCCCATTTTTGTTCAGCCACGAGCACCGTCCATCTCCAGAACTTTTTCATCTTCTACAAATTCATCTTGATTTCCACACTGTTTGACCCCTCTGTATTAAGTACATTTATATGTGTGACGTGGATCGAGTTACGACATATAAACCCCTCAGAACAGTGCCTGAATCCTGGGAAGACCTCAGCACGTGATGGCTGCTTCCTCTAAGTGAGATGGTTCGGCAGTCTGGGGGCAAGGTGGAGTGTAGGGATCGTAGACAGGAAGTGGGGAAAGAGGAATGGATGGAAAGCCTCTTTTCTGCAATTTAATTTGGGGCTCGTCTGTTCCTTGTTCAGTTTCAAGCGTTAGTGGGTATGCACTCTATGCACACAGTAGAACTGAAAAATTATCAAGTGAAATTCCGTCACAGTTAATAGTTTTATAAAAGGTTTGCAGGTACATTGTTCATACAAATTTCCCTTAACTGTGGGATTCAGTCCCTATTAAAAGTATTTTAATCTTGTCTGACAGGATTTGAACTTTTCGAAGAGCTGCCAACACCCACGTTCAGCTTTGGAGGCAGATCTGGAAACAGTGTAACGGCATTGGTTTTCCAGAAAACGTGAGACTTTCCACTGGACAAATTCAGTTAGCTTCGTTAAGAAGCTCCACATCAAAGTTAACCTGACACAGAAAATGCCAGTGCAAATAAATGCTTAGTAAGTACCCAGGATGCACATGTTGAAGAGATGAAATGGGTTGGTAAGAATATGAACATGTGAGTGGTTGAGTTTTAGAGACGAACCAAGAACCATTTAAAGTTTTCTTTTGTATTTGAAATGTAAATATTTTTCTCTTTGATTAAAAAAATTTTCCTGTAACTGCTGAACAGTCAAAAACCTTAAAGCAGTAAATGAATTTACAGAAAGCATGTATTCTTGGTTTTTGTGCCTTGGAAAAGTTGAATCGAATATAGCTGCTCATTAAGATTTGATGAAACTACTCCAGGGCGAGAATAATAAACACCTCTTTCTTAGTGTTTTATTAAACTGTCTATGAAACATAGTAAAAGTATAATATTTTGGGTTGAATGGTGGTTATTTTAAAAAAATTTTTTAATACCTGAGAAAAGTCCCTTAGTTTTCATGTGTATAATTAAACAAAATCAGATAAATGTATGAGTTGATCAAGAAATATTTATTGGGCTTGTATTTTGCTGCTGATGGCCTTTTACATACTGTGAAGGATAAACAGGAAGTAGGAAAGACAGCTAACAGATCCTATTATCTGCTAGCACGTGTTAAGTTACATTATGGTATTAAGTCACTGAATCCTCCAGATATCTTCTCAAGGTATTTATTAACTTATTCCTGTTTCTTCATATCGAAGGGCTAGTACTGGGCACCTGACTGGCTCAGTTGGTAGAGCATGCAACATGATCTCGGGGTTGTGAGTTTGAGCCCCACATTGGATAGAGAGATTACTTAAAAATAAAATCTTTATTTATTGATTTTAACGATTTTGTTTATTTGTCAGAGAGAGAGAGAGAGCACAGACAGGGGGAGCAGCAGGGAGAGGGAGAAGCAGACTCCCCGCTGAGCAAGGAGCCTGACGTGGGACTCAATTCCAGGACCCTAGGATCATAACCTGAGCCGAAGGCAGCCACTTAACCAACTGAGCCACCCAGACGTCCCAAAATAAAATCTTAAAAAAAAAAAAAGCCAGTATAGGATGGAGCCAGGATTCTTTGGGTTTGACTAAAACCCATTCTCTTCCTCCATCATATTCTGCTTCCCGGGGGCTAAGTCTTTGCCTTACTGGTACTTGCAGTTCAGTAGGGGAACCAGGCCTGGTCCGGGGAAGACATTGTCAGAGAAATTGAATAGTCGAATTTTCAAGAGTTCTGCAGCTCCTTGCTGTGACAGTGTTGGTCTGTGAGTGCGTCGTCCTTCACTACTTCTCTCCGTCTCCCTTTTGTCTTAACAAACTTGCCTAACCAAGAGCTGAGTAGCGTCATTCTTTTGGGAAGGGATGGTGTAGGCTGTGAGTGTATATAAGCCTTCGGGGATGTGGGGACACAGATATTTCAGTTAGGGCTAATTAGAAAGAGAAAGTTTATTTGTTAATGTTTTTGAAGAGATATGTTAATATATAATGCCAGTTTTGTGTTTGGGATAATATTTTCATATTGGAGCCACAATACAGATTTTAAAGTGATACAATTTTTGATGATTTTCAACTTTTTGGATTGGTTGGGTTTTTGTTTGGCAAATGTTAACCTAGTAACGAGTAAGTCTAGCATTACAGGCCTTTTTTCTTTTCTTTTTGTGTCTGAGTGGGGGCAGGGGTACGGGGAGAAGAGGGGCTTGATTTAAATCAACATTAATCAACCGTTAAGATTACTACCTGCCTTGCACAAGATAACTGAAGACGTTTACAAAAGCTTTCAACACAAATAACATTGTTTGAAAACCTTTAATTTTTAACACGTAAAGAGTGAGGAGTTCCTTCAAAATATATGTGATTTAAACTTACAAAAAAATTGCGTTAATGTTACAAATTAGGCAAAGGATCTTAAACCACAGGAAACCAGTTCATAATTTATTGAGGAGATCTGGTCTTTGTTGTTTTTTCATATTACTGTTCCTTGATATCAAATAGGATAGTAGTGTGGAAGTACTTTTTTTTAGAATTTTGAGTTGTTACGTATGGTATTTTAAAGCATCACTCTAACAGAAAGGGCTTTCTGTGGTCCAGACTGAGGCACTGGGTTTGATTCACCAATAGCTTGGAGTGGGCCTTTGTTGAAAAGCTCCTCGAGTCACCCTTGTGGCGGGGGATGTATGTTCCATTTGCAGAGACGAAGGATTTGGGGGAATCATGGAGCTGTTGCTAAGGTCAGGAGAAGGGATTTGTCATTTCTCCTTATCAGTTAATCCTGCTGGAAGCCAGCCTCTCAGAGGTTGAAATTAGAACAAATGGAAGGTCCCAAAATGCGAACACGAAATTAGTATTTTCAAATAATACCACACTTTAAAAAACCAGGCCAGTAAATGGCCCCAAGTTACTGAAGCAAGTCGTAAATATGTGACTGTTAAACTGAGTTTCGTTAAAGCACGTGACTGTGTGGGTAACTGGAAGAAATTATACGGTTATAAAAGGGAGCAGTGAGTTATGTAGTGAGCGCTGGTTTCTCTGCATAAGAAGTTGGAATTGTAATTTTATTTCATCAAAAGACACTCTTATTTTGAGGAAACTTGTTTGAAATGCAAACGAAGTTTCTTTCCAGAGCCTGCATGCCATTGTTGCTTCTCATTACGCTGTTACTGCTGCAGAGCGGGGCGTCTGTGTGTAGGCAGTGCGCGCGGGCCAGTCCGAAGGGATTTGAGGCTGAATGGGTGGGTTACACCAATTAACAAATAGAAAGTTTCAGAACATTTTGTTTTAAGCCAGGTGCACAAGTTAGAGTTGCTTTTTGGGACTGGCATTTATGCATATGAGAATCAAACCTGACACTCCTCTTGGCAGCTTGACTGAAGCCATTTTAAAATAAGTACAAACTGTCCTTGAATTGATTTTTCCCCCCATTGTAGTAGCAGCAAGTTTGCCTTTCTTCGTCTGACATGCATGCAGTTTTCTGTTATTTGTGGGGAGGAAGGGAGGTAAACATATACAAAAGACTTCTATTTATTTTTTATTTTTAGTTTTTAAAAAAAGATTTTATTTATTTGACAGAGAGCGAGCACAAGTAGGCAGAGCGGTGGGCAGAGAGAGAGAGGGAGAAGCAGGCTTTCCGCTGAGCAGAGAGAGCCCAATGTGGGGCTCCATCCCGGGACCCTGGGGTCATGACCTGAGCCAAAGGCAGCCTCATAACCGACTGAGCCACCCTGGTGCCCCGTACAAAAGACTTTTAGTCTTTGAGTGAATAATGTGTTTCAGTTCACTTTTTATTTTTAATTTTCTGTGATACTGTAATATAGTATACTATATGTTGACCTTAATTCATGTTCATCTGGAGTATAGTAGGAAGCTTAATTTTTAAGGAACCTATGTTAGTCTCTAACCTTTGAAATAATTTTCCTTAACTTGGTATGCAAAGAAATAGAGTATCCCTGCTTATGTCAATAGACTCTGATATATGTTTTCTTAAATAATTTTATTTTATGTATTTATGCATGCATGTGTCTGGTAGTCCATAATGAAAATATATACAAATGTGAAAACTCAGTTGCTCTCCAGGCCGGCATTCTGCTGCTGTGGGGAGGCCTGGGTTTGATTTCCTGTTGTTGGCACTGTGAGCTAGAGTGTACGTGCTCCAGAGACAGCTTTCTGCTTTGAAAGCAAGAGACCAAGTGTCTTGTGTTCCACAGTAGTAACCTCTTTAGCTAATTGTATGTGTGGGGGTTGTTGATGGGCTCTGAAAGGAGTCTTGTCTAGTACACTTCACTGGAAGGAGGCTGCCCATGACCTAGAGCTTGATTGTGGGAGACCAGGAGCATGGTAGGTTGAAGGACAATTGCTTAGTGGGAAAAAATTAGGAAACCCTTGTCATTTCTCTGTTAAGCAGGAAACAGAGATGTCCTTAGATGAAGGGGGAGCACATGAGCATGTTTTATTAACAGTTAATGGAAGAAAATTAATGCTAATTTATTCTTCATACACACCATGCAATTTGTTAGAAAAGTAAAAGAATAGTTTGAAATTCTTTGGTCAGTTGATGGGTTCCTATGTTAGGGGCATAGAAATGAAACTCAACATTAAGCAGACAAATACCCAAGCCCACAGGCTACATAAATGCTGAATAAAACCAGCTCTACAATAGAACTCTGAAAAGCGAGGGGTAAGAAGCCTAATGAATGATTGAATATGACCTTAGCAAAATCCCTGGAGTGTTGTTGAAAGATCATTCATTTCCAGCTTAGATGTCAAGATGGGCTCCAGTAACCAGGAAAAAAGAGAGCTTGAGTCAGTACTTACTGAGTTTTAAAAAATCTTTACAACTCAGTGCATTAGACTAATCATTAAAAGGGCTTCTCTAACTGAATTTTGAGCTGTCACTGTGTAGACCTGTAGTGTAGGCCCAGAGAAACCAAATTAAAAAGATAGGAATAATTCGCAGGACCTGAATGTATCAATATCATACTTTTATGGAGTAGGACTTCAAAAACTGGATGTAGAGGCTGGCAGAATGTACTTTTGTCATGCTGATACTATTGTAAGGAAGACTTAGAACCCCGAGATCAATTGTGCCTTAGAGTAATTGCAGATTACTTGCCCAGTTTATTAGAAGAAGATAGGGAAAAACCAAAATGTACCTTTTTCATTTCTAAGTGGCCTATTCTGAAGAAATGATAAATTCTTTTATGTTATATTTTAAAATATGTATTATTATTACTGCATCGGAAAATAAGTGTTTTGTGAGTGATCTTTGTTGTGCGTGCTGTCCAGAAGCTTTTTAAGAAAAGCTAATCTAACACATTTGTTTTCCCAAATACCTAAAAATTTACACATGAACCAGGATTAGCGTATCCTGGATATTATATGAGGAACTTAAATACGAAAACACTCCTGTTGCATAAGGGGACCTTGAACTGTATTTCTCATTCTTCATTAACATACTTACCGATGAGGCAGTTTATTATTGCCTGTGACTCTAGCAGATCTGAAGTGCCTTTGGGAGGGTCGCAGCTCTCCTGCTCTGGCCCTCCATGCTGCTTGTCAGAGCTGGGCAGAGTCGGGGGAGGGAGCTAAATGGAGAAGGGAGTGGGTGCTGCCAGCGCACGTTTTCTCCTCACCCCTCTAGTATGAAAATGTCAGTCCTTTGTTCCCATCTAATTTTAGTACATCCTGGCTTTAAAAAAAAGAAGTTAGGATGCTTTCCAACCCTGGAACTTTGAGGGGTGGGGTGGGCGGGGAAAGGGGAGAGGAAGGAGCAGTTTACATTCCATATCCGTCTGCCTTTCTGCAACAGCATCTAGGCCCTATTCTGTTGATTCTGGTAATGAAATAAATTTAGATGCACTGAAGCAGCAATAATTAAGTTTTCCTTCCGTGTCCTCAACAAGAAGCCTAGTTGGAGTCTGAATGGGGAAAATCATAATATGGCATTTAATAAAACAAAGTGGGCTGAATTAGAGAG